TATCTATCTATCTATCTATCTATCTATCTATCTATCTATCTATCTATCTATCTATCTATCTATCTATCTATCTATCTATCTATCTATCTATCTAATATTATTTGTCCCACAACATACTTGCATACCTCCATCAATAAGCCCTCTTGTCACAGTGTGAAGTCAAATATATACAGTAGCATGAAGAGTGGGAGGAGAATCGAAGAAAGAGTGGGGAGGGGATTCAAATCGTCACCGAATAGACATTCATGCTTTCTCCCCGTTTTTCTCTCTCTCTGTCTCTTTTTCTTTGTGTCCCCCCTCCCCACACTTTCTGTCTGTTGCTCTCTCTCTCTCTCTCGCCTCCCCTCTCCTGTATGGAGCAGTGCCTCAGCCTCCAGCTCATCAGGCATTCGCTCTTACTTACCCCCCCAACGCACACACACACCACCACCACAGTTTCTCACTTCCCTCTGCTCCTCTGCTTACTGATACTTCTGCTTCCACTGCTGCCTTCCTCGCTCCCTTCCCTCCTCTCTGTAGCTCGCTCCTCATCCTCAACCCACCATGGTGAACAGATAACCGCCCCTGCCGTCCCGAGACCATGGGTGCCTGCCTCTGCAAAAGTCACAAAGGTCAGTGCCCGACTCCACCTGCTTGCTCTTCCTCATCTGTGTGTATGTCTGAGGGTTTAATCAGCCTTGAAGATAATGTGACAGCATTCACAGGCTGTTTCAGAAAGTTGCATTATGCCTTTCAGGAATAACTATGCACGTGAGGACGTGGAAAATCATGGAAAATGTTTGATTTTTGATTTTGGCAGATATTCCTGAAGTTCTAACAGCAGAACGACCACCTGAATCACATTTTGAGGCATGTTTACAATGCACTCCATCATGCGAATCCAGAAACTTATTTTAAGCTGATGTCTTATCTATCCTCGAGTGAATCTGTTGAGGTTGCTTTAGAATAAAGACTCTGGGAGAAGAGGCTGATGACGAGGCTTGTGTGGATCAGTGAAGGACAATTGTAGCTGTAGGATGTCAGAGCTTCGTCAGAAGCCGATTCCAACTTGTCGTGACTTGAAGATGTGACTTGGGTTGCAATTTCTTTTTTCTCCTACTGTGTTTGCTCACTGTCTCTGCTTCTGGGGAAATAAGTTAGTGTTCCAGCACTGCCTAGATGAAATAACAATACC